TTGCTGAGGGTGCACTTGATCCCACTGTCTATGTCATTGATGTCAACAGTACTGGACCCAACATGGTCCCCTTGTCACTGATCTCCATCTGGACATTGAGCCATTGACCACTACTCTCTGGATGTGACCATCCAGCCAATTCCTTATCCACTGAATAGCCCATCCTTATCCCTCCAATTTAGAGAGAAGGATGTTGTGGAGATCAAGTCGAAGGCCTTACAGAAGTCCAGATAGATGACATCAGTAGCTCTTCCCGTGTCCTTGTCTCTGACGAGGTCACTCCATCATAGAAGGCTACTTGGTTGGTCAGGTAAGATTTGCCCATGGTGAAGCCATGCTGGCTGTCTCAAATCACCTCCCTGTCCTTCTTGTGCCTTAACATAGTTTCTAGGAGGATCTGTTCCATGATCTTGCCAGGCACAGAATAGAGGCTGATAGGTTAGTACATCCCAGGGTCCTCCTTTCTACCTTGTTTAAAAAGGTGCAACAAGGAGTTTTAAACAATAAGGAATTTTAATCATTCTTTTATTCATTTAATCAGCTCTAAAAGACCATTCATGGACTAAACAATGCAGTCCAATGTAGCAAGGGGAAAAAAAACACAACAAAACAGGACTTCCACAATTTACGGTCAAGGGAACTGAATCACAGAAATTGTGCAATTATTTCCTGAGAAATGTTAGTCTTGCCCTTAGAGGTCTTGAGTTTGAACACGTTTTGCTATAAATATAACAAAAACAACACCCCGCAATCCTATTAGAAGCCAGAAGTACTTAGACTCTCAAGCCCCCAAAATAGCCCAGTCATTGTAGTAATCAGAAGCTGTAAAAGACCTGTATTTTTATACATCTGCTAGAGAAGGTACCCAGATGTGTCCAGTAGGTGTCATTTTTGTCCACTCTTGCTTTCTTTACTAAAGGTTAATGAGAGTAGCAAGAAGGCATTTTCCTTGAAAAGTCAGAGGTATCATTGCTTTCCTATGGAAATGGACGGTATTTGGGACAGGAAACTATGGCATGTGCAGAAATTTTGTGTTCGACCAGAAATCTCTTCAGGCTGATTGGGAATGCTCAGGATCAGTTCGGTGCCTGGTCATTTCTGGGCTGAACTAAAGATCTGGGCAGGCAGGTCCAGATTTTGCTCAAATTCCCAGGGTTTGGCACTCTGAAATAAGGACTGTCCTCCCATGATCCTGTCCTTTCTACCTCTATGTATCCTTGGCCATGTTAAGTCTCAACAAACCCTCTTGGTACCTTCCCCCTCTACTGCCAGAGATATGAGACACAGAGTCTACCCATGGACACTTATGGTGAACAATTTCTTACCTCCTCCACCTGCTATGCAGAAAACCAGACTGCACTGAAAGATAAACTTATTCTGCAGAGGGAAGTTAGTCCGTGGCTGCTGGGATCAGAGCAAAACCAGCCAGGGATGGTTTCCTGTCTGGCAAATACACCATTTCTACACTGCACAAACCTCTGGAGCTGGACTGCAAGCACCTACCTCTTGCGCAAGCCAACGTGAGTCAACAGCCCTGAAAAGCAAAATCTGGCATGGCTCACTGTGGCCAAGCGTAAGACATTTTATTAGTTGATAGTTTTTTCTTAATTAATTAATTAATTTTGTTCCCATACAGGGAACGCCCAAACCACAGGAGAGGGAGCTGAAGGAAACCTATGCTTCTCTTGGGACATTTTAAAGCCTGGCATCGGTTGCCATCAGAATGTTTTAAGCCGAGAGACGGCGCTTTGGTTTGAGGTGCTGGAGCTCCAGTGCCTTCCTCTTGCCAGTTTGGCTGATGAGGTGGTAACCTCTGCCAGAGGGACACGACAGTGAGCAGATGAGCCCTTGCTGCTTCCAGATCCCGAGCCCAGAGGTCCCCAAGGGCGAAGATACACAGACATGTGCTAAAGGACACCCACACACAAAATAACTTCTCGCTGGTTTCCCACGAGGCTCGCAGGTGGCATGAAGCCCAGATGCGAAATTAAATCAGTACCAGCAGCAGAGCTGCAGCCGGCTGTGCAAATGCCAGGGGAGGTGCACCCGTCTGCTGCATGTGGGTGGCTGCGCCAGAGATGGGGGCCTGCCTGTCACATGGACCCTGCCAATGCACAGGTGCCATGGATGTTCCTCCTCTTGGCCCCTGGTCCAAAACCACAATGCACTGCCTTGAGCAGCACAGCTATGGAAACTTCTCTCTGCTGGTGTATATTCACAATGACCAAAAAAAAGGCCATTTTGCGTCCACCATCCTTCCTACCCAGCACTCTGGGCAGGTTGGAAAATTCATCCCTAACCGAGCGAGCTGCAAACTACAACCACACATCTAAAATTTCCATTCAGGCACCTTCATGACATTGAAGCAGAACTTGCAGCAGCATTGCTTTCATGCAAAACAGACACAGCCCCCACAGCTGTCTCCTGCTCCTCTACAAAGATATGGCATCAGAAGCAAAAATGTCACTTGATATTCCAAAATAATTGAAATTATTTTTGCTATTAAACACTACCTGACTGAAGTGAACCCTCTCTTCCATGAACTCAAGTTAGCCATGAGCCATCAGTGCCACCACTACCAGGATCCAGAGAGGGACTTGCAAACCACAAATACACTGGTCTGCTCCCAGCCCTGCCCTGACGTGCCTGGGACTGCAGACTTGGGGAGCAGTCAGAAAATACCATTTTGATAGACGTAACTAGCTTCTCTGGCCCAGAACTACCCCTAAACACATCATTCTATTCTAAAATCAGTTTTCCAACTCCAAATAATTAGGGGATGTTGTTGCTTCTTTCTTCTCTTGCAGAGATAAATTGCAGCTGTTTGCAAACAGCTGATGATAGGAATTTTTGGTCGCCTGTCCAACAGCACGGTGTTGTGCCTGCCTGCAATCTGGAAGAACTTATGCTACAGTGCAAATTTCAAACACGTGATATCAAATTATCTGTTGGGAAGTATTTCTCTGCATGGGTGAGCTGTGTGTGAAGGCCTCACTCAGTCACACCGGAACTCGGTTTTCCAGGGGGGAAACCGTCCCCTCAAGTGACGTTTCCCAGACTCCAAGAAATGTGCTAAGTTTCTGAAGGAACCTGCTGCTTTCTGGTAACTGGCCCAAAGGCCCTTTCTTCCAGAGCACTACTTCTCTCCACAAGTGACATTAAGTGAAAGCGTGGACCCTGAGGCAGGAAAACAGGATCTCACCTTCAGATGACCATTGCTTCATCAAACAGTCAGCAATGATAAAGTGAGATAAGAGGCACTTAGTGAAATGCAAGTGCTCCTTTTCTGTGGCTCATTCAGTCAGATAAACTCCCGTCAGCCACACAGATGAAGGTCTTCTTAATCAGACAATACTGATCTTTGATTACACCACATAATAACGATGGAAAGGACCTGCTCAGCCCACTTTGCCCAAAGGTATCTGTTACTGTAGCCGGTCAGAGAAAATAGCTTTATCACCACAATCAGCCAGGGCTGAAATACAAGGTGAAGAAAAACTCAGACATCAATAACCACATTTAAATAAAAAAGACACCTGCAATGAGAAAACGTCAAGGTGAGGTCTGAGGTTTTTCACAAAATTATAAATAGAAAAGATTAGTGCACTGGGCTTTGGGGACCTTTCAATATATGTAGTTACAGAAGCGTGACAAAAACAGGGTGACTGATTTCAGTGTGCTTTGAAGCAGGGACTTTTTCAGGATTAAGCCTTTCAACCAGCAAGTATGTCTGAAAGGCTTGTCACACAGTTCAAGAATTTAGATATTTATT